TCTTACTGAAAAGGGAAAGAAAATGCACGTACAAAATAATTTCGGGGACACGGTGAGGCTGCATTTATTAAAAGGCTTCTCCTGTTTGGCCACCACGATTCACAGCCAAGGAGTCAGGAGCCAGTGCTCTTTTCCATCCTACCTTTCCTTTTGTTGCCAACACTTTGGGCAATTGCAATTAAATATTACATTTTAGAAATGGTCTCAGGAAGGGTTTTATGGCCCAGACATGATACTTCTGCAGTTTGGGCTGAGACACATGGTATCGTTGGACTGTGCTCTAATCTTAGGAGTGTAAATCCAGAGTAATTGCATCCCTGTCAAATCTGTACAGGCGCAGGAGGGATCAGAAGTTGGCGCTCCGTGGCTTGGTTGTGCCTCAGCGAATTCAGCTCGTTTGCCAGCAGCCTGAGGGTCTGGTTTTGCAGCTTCCACAACCGCTCAGGCTCTCCTGCCGTAAGAGCATCAAGTTCAGCAGATGATTTTTAATCTGGGTCGCCGCAGTGGCTTAGCTCGCAATGCAACCCCGCAGAAAGGTGTAGGAACACAGCGGGGTGCCACGATGGCCCACGAGGGCAGCGGGTCGGAGGAAGACTCAGCATATCCTAAAAGATCCCTGTGAGCTTTCGAGTGGATTCCCAAAGTAACCCAGGAAAAGCATATCGTGCCGAACAACAGCCATAAAACTCCTCTGAATCAGCTGATGGCTGACACATTTCTCCAGTAAACAAGCTGCATAAAGTATATCCCGAAGTGCCTTTTCAGTCTGCGGCATTAGGGTGAACAAGCCCTGCTTTTAATGAAGTAATCGTTATTTAATAGTTTTTATCAATGTCAGGGGAATTTCAGGCCTTGCTTATGCTGCAAAAGCTTGGTGGTATAGCAACAGCAGCATGGTTTGATTGATAAATGTTCCTCGGGGAGGTACAGTGTATGGCAGTTGCCCAAAACCACAATAAACTACCCGGCACAAGTATTCCTTTTTCTTCCCTCCCTTCCCACTGTAGAAAGGCTTCGGCCAGCGTAGTTATGTCAGCTAAGGGTGTGATATTTTTTCTCACTCCTAATTGACCCATTCATGCCAGCAAAACTTCACAAGTAGTCCAACCTCAGGTGGGTTTTTTTTGTTTGGGTTTTGATTGTTTTGGTTTTGGGGGGTTTTTTTGGTGTTTTGTTTTTTTTTTTTTTTTTTTTCAGCCAGTATTACTATTCTAGATGGAGAATTTGTCTTTGCTTGTTCAGGCCAGAATATTTAGCCAAACCTGCCTTTCTGAGGAAAATTAGTCCCTGCTCCTTCTAGGAGAGCCTCTGTTTCTTGGTAAACAATTTGTTTTATAGCGGTTAAATCTGAGGTGGAAAGTAATATGGATAAATGTTAGGGGTTTTGTTTAGTTTTGTTTGCCTTTCAGTTGGTAATTCAGCAGCATCTCTGACTGCAGGACCCGTGTAAAATTGTCTGGTAGTAATGCTGCTTTATCCTCTGAATTTATTTCTGTGTCGCTTGTCAACCTGAACACCTCACATGGAAACAGAAACTGTGAATGGTTCAGATTTACCATATCCCCAATTTATTGGGGAGACAATAGAGAAAGGTAGAAAAGGGCTAATTAGTTTATTCACGTCTCCACAGCAAAGATTTGGGACCAGGATTTTGGTGCAGAAAACATTTATTCTGCAGGATTCTTGGTAGCAACCTTGGCATTGGTGCTTATCCAGAAACTGGGGCTGCTGTGCTAGCTCATCTGAACCAAAACGCATCAGAAATTAAATCTTTCTTAGGATGCATTGCTAGTTAGAGGGTCAAATGATGCCAGAGGACCTGGAAGCAGGATAGAAAGCATTTCACCTTTTATTGTTATTGGCAGAAAGACAGGATACCTGACAGCCTCCTGAGCTCTTACAGCTTATAAGGCTAGCTTATCCTTATCAGACACCTACTTGCTTTTTTGTTCTTTTTTATAACCTGTCAGCAAAGAGATGACTGCTTGGATTTTCTCGCTCTTCCCTTTTCTTCCCCACCCAGGAGAAGCCTAACTCCTATCGGTGAATCATTCCTGCGTAGGTATAAAACTCTGAAGTCGGTTTAGCCTGAGAAACCCTCATACAGAGTAGGCAGTGATTCAGAGAAGAGCG